ATCTTTATCCCATGCAACTAAAGCCTTTACCCTTCCTACAGTTCTGAAACGCATTTTCCTTGCTCACTTTTCTTCACACTCAGGCTCCATTTCCGTCTTCACAGATGGGTCAAGTCTGCCGACGGTGTAGGTTACTCTGTTGTATTTCCTGACTACACCTGTATGTGTTGCCTGCCCCCAGAGACTAGCATCTTCATGGCAGAACTTTATGCAATTATGTATGCACTTATTCAACTGCTTTCTCACTGTCAGTCTTCCTTTGTTGTTGAAGTTGACTCTCGCAGTGCCCTCATGGCTCGGGAGTCCTTTATTTCAGTCTATCATGGGGTAGTCAAAATTTAACATAGGCTCTTTCTTATCTCCAGCAGATTTAAGATAGTGAAGTTTTGCTGGGTTCCCAGTCATATTAGTGTTTTCTTAAATGAGCGTGCGGATGCTGCTGCCAAGGTGACTATCCGCACTTGTCCCATTTCAGCAAAGGTGTTCCATATTTTGACTTCTACCCAGTTATTCATGCCTCAATCTGTGCCCATTGGTATGATTATTGGCCTTCTGTTACTAGTAACAAAGTGCATGCTCTTAAGGGTAGAGTGTGTCCCCATGGCCTTCCTCCTACCACCATAACCAGCGGTGGGAAACGGCTCTGGCGAGGTTATGAATTGGCCGTGCACATTTAACTCGCAGGCACTTAATGGAGTGCGGCCTTGCTCCTTATTGTTCAAACTGCACTGCTTGGGAGCTGCTTGTTTGCTCTAGTTCTCCCAAAGGATGTGGACAGGTGGCAGCCTTCACTGGAGGGTCAACACGGTTTGTGTTCATTTGGCGACCATTTTGCACTTATGAGCAGTTCAGCTGCTCACTAACCAGATTCCTCTTCCAAGGCTTGTTTAGCCCAAGTTATACACAGTGACATTAAGTCTGGCCTGCCTGTGCTCTATCCTCAGCCCTGTGATGTTCATAAATATGCAACTTTGTTCACTGTGTTTTCTGACATGTCATGGACTGATATTCAGGCTCAGGGGTCTTGGAGTGTAACAGGGTCCTGGTGGTTCATTACCTGGTCACTGTTGCTCATGTTTGGGAGGGCTTATGTTGCTCTCAGTCGGGTTTCCTGTCCTGGCATATTTTAAGTGTGTCATTTTTGCTCTCGACCTCCCTGGTAGTATATCCTATGTTTTCTTCGACTCTGTGGTTAGGTGTGTTGTTAGTTAACTTCAGGGGGCCACCATTCGGCCCTCTCAAAAAAAAGTATTGAATGTAATGAAATGGATCTTTCTGGTGGGGCCTCGGTGGCGCCCTGATTCCCCTTCCCCCAGGTACATCACTTCGTGGTCTTTCAGCTCCTTGACTAAGATCGAGATGGCATTTCAGCCTTAGTCATCTAGTCAAGATGACTAAGAATTTGGGATGGGATGGGGGAAAGGAATGGTGCCCAAATACTTGGGTTGGACGGTAGAGCGACGGTCTTGCCTCATGCTGGTCGGCATTCGATCTCCGACTGTCCAAGTAGATGGACACCATTCCTTCTCCCCGTTCCGTCCCAAATCCTTATCCTGATCCCTTCCAAGTGCTATATAGCTGTAATGGCTTGGCACTTTCCCCTGATAGTTTGCTCCCTCTGTACTAAGGTCAAGATGGCATGGATGCTGGGAGCTGCCAGTGGTGTTGCCACCTGTTGGTGGCCAGCCATAAATAAGGGGGTTCAGTCTAGTTTGAGTGAATAGTTTGTAGAATCATTTGGCTGTTGTAGTTACAGTATTTGCTTTCTTTGAACCTTGTAATTGTCTGGTTTGTATTGCTGCATTGACACTCTAGATATCTGTTTGGTGAGGGTGATGGTAACAATTTCGTTCCCTATACCTCTGTGGACGGGGGAGCAGATTCTAGCTCTAGTCTGTGGTAAGCCATACAGGACTTGAGGCAGTTGTGACTTGGCAAGGGGGAGGGGAAGAGTTATTTCAGCAAGATAGCTTCGAGGAGTCACCGCGGCCCCACCAGAAACAGGCAGTTTATTACATTAAACACTTTATTTTTATTTGTATAAGAGTTATTTTAATTTTCAAGTTAGGTTTTTACTTCAGCTATCCTCGAACCTATTTGAAAATTTTCTTTATTGGATTTTCTTTTCTGGGGAAGCCCCATCAGCTACCTGAAGTGTAAGGGAGCCTCTGGGGCTTTGCCCAGAAAATGGTGTTTCATTACATTCAATGCTTTTTTTTCCACTAACATTAAAAAAAAATTAAGTGAGCCCACTGTAGATTTTATTTTTAATATTCAGAGTATGATATTGGCAACTATTTTGTATACTCTACTATATTTCTGAAGGATAGCATCATTTTTATTCCTAAGAGAGACATTAACTAGTCTAGAACCATGACAAGACAAAAGTGACCGCTACTGGCTTGGGACACACCATAGTAAATATTGTAATATATTGTTAAGCTGGCCTGAATTTTTTCCTTTAACTGAAGTCTCGTATAAATTTCTTGGAAGCGGGGTACAGGGAGGTGTCTATGCATAACATAGCACCAATATTGCTTGTAACTTTAACACTTCTACCTTCATTTACATAATGATGAACCACTCTTAGAGGAGTGCAGAAATAGTTGTAATGCAGTAGAAATTCTTTTTAAACCTCTCATGTTTTTGGATGACTTGTGTTGTGAAAGTACGTGCCTTGAATGTATAAGCTATTGTTAAAAACTCTTCTTCCTAACTATTATTCTATGCATTTGGTATACATATATTACATGCATAATATATGTATTATTTGTACAGTTTGTAAATTGGTTCACAGGGTTTTATTGTAGCACAAATATTTTCGTAGACACCAAGTTGTCTCTTATCAGCCAGTGTGTAATGAACAGTTAACCAGATAATGGAAGTTATCAATGTGGGTGTAAGCATTTTGTTTCAGGCAATAAGTTATAGTTACTTGTATAATAAGAGTCTTGTATAATAAGAGAATTAAGTGATTCACAGCAACACAAGTCAAAGTTCAAATTAGTATTACCAATTTCTAATTCTTCCTTGTTGCTTTTTTAGTACAGGTAGTTGTAAATATTACTTTGATAATAAGAGTGTTTTGAAGGAACATAATTCACTGTTTGTGAATGCAGTAATTTTTTTTATTAAGGTATGTTGCCATAATCATTACAGTGTTTTTCACGTATCAGCATTGCAAGATTTGTTTGTTACAAATTCATTAATGACTGCAAATATTGCAGAGTACAAAGTTATGCATTGCCCAATTTGACAATTCAGGAAAGCTTTGCTTGTTGCCATTTGAAACAAATGATCAGTATGAACCAGCATAAATGATGAAACATTAAAAAGAAAAAAATGTTGTCAAAGTTAAATAAAGTATGTACAGTATAAATATATATTTCTATATCTCCAGCACTGGTTGTGGAATGACTTGGAATGTATTTAATCAATATTAATAACTTTTCTTTCCAGATTTGTATCATTTTGATAACTTCCATAACACAGCATAGTGTGAATGCTGTACAAGGGGGGGGGGGCATTGTTCAGATGCTATAGCACATAATGTGACAATTATTTTTAGTGTTCAAATAATGTATACTGTTACAGTAAATGGGTTCAGAAGGCATGATTTTACCCTTTATAATTTTTAGTTTTGCAATGCTCGTTTAAAATTAATTTCTTACGTTTGCATGGAACACACTGAACTTACAATGCAGGACCAATACAATTTAAAACTTTTCAAATTATTGCACTTATTCAACCCAGATGCAAAGTCAATGAAGTAAGAGTTTACCAGTGGCTTGTTTTGCATTCCACCTTGATGTTCAGCATTATAAAAGTGACAATGATACATTGCTTTAACCAGTTGGGAACACTTGTCTTTAAATTCATCATAATGTGAACGTGCTTGTGTTGGGGATATCTTGGTGGAAGAGTTGTGCTCGTGGGCTCTGGCCCACCACCGGGGGGTGGTGGGGGGGGGGGAAGGGGGGTCACAACTCTGAGAAAGCCGCATCTGAACAACCACACCCCAAATTTGTTTTTTTCTCTGTGTATCATCTGGCTCATTTGTTGCTAATTATTTAATTGTTTATTTGGTTAAACTGAACAAGTCATCCTGCTGCAGATTGAAACTATTAATTGGTGGATAATTTATATAGTTGAAGTTTTAGGCATGACAGATCATATTTTTTTTGTATTGGCTCTCTTATTCTTTATTATTTTAAATAATTATATCCAGGCATCATGGGCAGTCTTCCAAAAGTTATTAAAGAGAAAGCAATTTTTTATGCAATGACTAATAACAAATCCAATTTCTTTTAAGACAAATATTTTGCAAGACATACATGCTTGGTAACAATTCTTTAGTTATGGAGCAGATAAAGATTTATTTGATAGGCAACACTGATGTATATTTGATTATGGGTGAATGGACTACCGTTAATGGACACCTGCCAAGAGCAGGTTGGTAGTCGTAACACACATGCCACCTGAAGACTGTAGGGTGTAAGGAATGTTAATGCTGGGTTATAACACACACACTTCTCAACAACATTCCCAGGCCTCGTACAGCATGAAACTTTTAACTACTAATTTGCTCCACAAAATGTTCATTGTCACTTTGTGTAAAGGGATATTTGAATACTGAAATTTTGACTGTTATATAAATTTAAAATTGTTTACTTTTGTTTAAATACAAGTACTCTCCCTATAATAATTGTACAAGGGTTAATACTATATTGGATTTTATAGCATTGGAAACTTAAGTTTCATATTGTTTAGAATCGTGAAACTTTTTTTTTAATAGTTTACCCATCTCAGAAGGGTTGCATTTTGTCTTAGAACAAGGGAACTATTATAACTTTGAAGTGATATAATATAAAAGTAGGCATCTGTTGCCTGAATTGTTGAGATGTATTATGCAATGCTCGGAGCGGTTCCCCCCTCCACATGTAAACTATTACGAGGTGGTGTCAAGGTTGTATAATACCTCTTATCTTTCTTATTTTCAGAAGCCGACTTAATAGAGGAGAGGGGCCTCGTGTAGGCTTAGTTTTACTGTCAAGATACAAAACATTTATAAATCTCATTTTATTTTCAATTGTAATATATTGTACAGATATTGTTTTGTATTTTTGTCCAGTATACAGTAATATGTATGTTTTATGCAAAAGACCAACCGTTGCAAAATTTTATGAGTCGTAAATGTCATTATTAAAAAATCTCTTGGAAAAACTACATAGTTTATTTACCCAACTAATGTGAAGAAGTAATATATGTTTACACTGTGAAAGTAAGTAATTATCAAAAGAAAGCACCAAGTCGGGGAGGCTATGTAGCACCGTCAAAAGTGCAGGATATTCAAAAGGTGCTAAATATCACTAAGGATGCCAATAGGAGAACAAAAGCGCATAAGGCGAACAACAAAGATATGCACGACCGTAAGAGGGACAATACAATTCGGACAATGAGGAGCAGGGTGGTGCTTCATTAAGTGTCCGTGAGTTAAGCGGGTATCGGTAATACTTAACCTCACTAGAGCTGTTTCCCACCACCGGTTGGTGGTAGGAGGAAGGGGGGGACACTACCCTTAAGACCACACAGCTTGTTACCCATAACAGAAGACCAATGAGCCTGCCAACGGGCAAGGATTCAGGAATGACTAACTGGGTAGAAGTCAGAATAAGGAATACCTTTACTGGAGACAGGACAGGCACAGATAGTTTTGTTAACGACAGCGTCCAACAGCCAAAGTTGAATTCCGACGATCACAGGATAGACAGGATTAAAGGACTCTAGAGCCATGAGTGCACTGCGAGAGTCAACTATAACAACAAAGGAAGAATTACGGCAAGAAAGCAGTTGACAAAGAGCAAACAAAATTACATAAAGTTCAGCCATGAAGACTCTTGTCTCTGGAGGGAGGCTACACACATAGGTGCAGTCAAGAAACACAACGGAGTAGCCTACACTGCTGGAAGACTTTGACCCATCTGTGTAGACGGAGATGGAGCGGGAGTGTGAGGAAAAAGTATTTCACCATAGGAGGGGTAAAAGCCTTAGTCATGTAGGTCAAGGTTCTACAAAACGTAAGAAGAGGGACCCTCCATGGGGGCAAGGACGGAATGACACGAGAAGAAACATTGGGAACACGAACCGAGGGAGAACCTTGCAAGCGAGACATCCGTACAGAAAGGAAAAGGCGGTGAAACAGAACAGGGCCTACAGGAGGGGTTAGGTAAGGTTTCCGACCCCAGCACCCCCTGAAATAAGCTTTCCGACCCCAGCACCCACATGTAGTAAGCTTTCCGACCCCAGCACCCCCTGAAATAAGCTTTCCGACCCCAGCACCCACATGTAGTAAGATTTCCGACCCCAGCACCCCCTGAAGTAAGGTTTTCGACCCAGCACCCCCTGAAATAGGCTTTCCGACCCCAGCACCCACATGTAGTAAGGTTTTCGACCCCAGCACCCCCTGAAGTAAGGTTTCCGACCCCAGCACCCCCTGAAGTAAGGTTTCCGACCCCAGCACCCCCTGAAGTAAGGTTTCCGACCCCAGCACCCCCCTGAAGTAAGGTTTCCGACCCCAGCACCCCCCTGAAGTAAGGTTTCCGACCCCAGCACCCACATGTAGTAAGGTTTCCGACCCCAGCACCCCCTGAAGTAAGGTTTCCGACCCCAGCACCCACATGTAGTAAGGTTTCCGACCCCAGCACCCCCTGAAGTAAGGTTTCCGACCCCAGCACCCCCTGAAGTAAGGTTTCCGACCCCAGCACCCCCTGAAGTAAGGTTTCCGACCCCAGCACCCTCCTGAAGTAAGGTTTCCGACCCCAGCACCCACATGTAGTAAGGTTTCCGACCCCAGCACCCCCTGAAGTAAGGTTTCCGACCCCAGCACCCACATGTAGTAAGGTTTCCGACCCCAGCACCCCCTGTAGTAAGGTGTCACATCCCAGCACCCCCCTGTAGTAAGGTGTCACATCCCAGCACCCCTGTAGTAAGGTGTCACATCCCAGCACCCCCCTGTAGTAAGGTGTCACATCCCAGCACCCCCTGTAGTAAGGTGTCACATCCCAGCACCCCCTGTAGTAAGGTGTCACATCCCAGCACCCCTGTAGTAAGGTGTCACATCCCAGCACCCCTGTAGTAAGGTGTCACATCCCAGCACCCCCTGTAGTAAGGTGTCACATCCCAGCACCCCTGTAGTAAGGTGTCACATCCCAGCACCCCCTGTAGTAAGGTGTCACATCCCAGCACCCCCTGTAGTAAGGTGTCACATCCCAGCACCCCTGGAGTAAGGTGTCACATCCCAGCACCCCCTGTACATCTGGTTACACCAGTACCAGGTGTTCTGGACCTCCAACAGGCCTGAAACTCGAAATGTAAATAATGACATGGGAGGTCGTGTATTGCTCCGGGCCACGACTACCTTGCCCTCCACGAGCGCAGTGATTATATGTGTGACATTCATCACTCCATCTGTGTGTATTTGGCATGTGTTACAGTTTGTACGACCTCAAAAACCTGTGAATAAAACAAAGTCTTTCATGAGGTGTGTTGGTATCGTGGATATGATACCAACATCGGATCATATCCGATGTTGATATCGGATATGATCTGGCAGTCTCCGTGGTGTAGTGGTAAGACACTCGCCTGGCGTTCCGCGAGCGCTATGTCATGGGTTCGTATCCTGGCCGGGGAGGATTTACTGGGCGCAATTCCTTAACTGTAGCCTCTGTTTAACGCAACAGTAAAATGTGTACTTGGATGAAAAAACGATTCTTCGCGGCAGGGGATCGTATTCCAGGGACCATAGGATTAAGGACTTGCCCGAAACGCTACGCGTACTAGTGGTTGTACAAGAATGTAACAACTCTTGTATATATCTAAAAAAAAAAAAAAAAAAAAAAAAAAATATACCAGACGTCACCCTATCCCCACTGGATTTTGAAGAAGCCATAGACAGTATGCCTATGCACTCTGCACCAGGCTCCTGACTCTTGGAACTCTATATTCATCAAGAACTGTAAAAAAAAACACTATCACAGGCCGTTCACATTCTTTGGAGACAAAGCCTAGATACTGGCATTATCCCTGACATATTAAAAACAGCAGAGATAGCACCACTCCACAAAGGAGGAAATAAGGTAGAGGCAAAAAAATACAGACCGATAGCACTAACATCGCACATCATAAAAATTTTTGAGAGTGTGCTAAGAAGTAAGATCACAAAATACATGGAATCACAGCATCTCCATAACCCCGGACAACATGGTTTCAGAACAGGGCGCTCTTGCCTGTCGCAGTTGCTGGACCACTATGATATGGCATTAGATGCTATGGAAGACAAACAAAATGCTGATGTAATTTACACAGATTTCGCAAAAGCGTTTGACAAATGTGACCATGGTGTTATTGCACATAAAATGCGTTCAAAAGGAATTACCGGAAAAATAGGCAGATGGATCTATAATTTCCTGACTAACAGAACCCAATGTGTAATAGTCATTAAAATAAAATCCGGACCATCAACGGTAAAGAGCTCAGTGCCCCAGGGTACTGTGCTTGCTCCAGTACTTTTTCTCATCCTCATATCGGACATTGACAAGGACACAATCTATAGTACTGTATCAACCTTTGCAGATAACGCTAGGATTTTTATGAGAGTAGACAACATAGAGGACACGGCAAACCTCTAATCAGATGTAAATCAGGTCTTTCAATGGGCTACAGAAAATAACATGATGTTTAACGAAGATAAGTTTCAGCTCATGTGATACGGAAAAAATGAAAATATAAAAACGGAAACCACGTACAAAACTCAGTCAAATCCTAACATAGAACGGAAAAGCAATGTAAAGGATCTGGGTGTACGCATATCGGAAGACCTTACATTTAAAGAACACAATAAAGTAGCCCTCACAACTGCAAGAAAAATGACAGGTTCGATAAAAGAACCTTTCACACTAAAGATGCTATACCGAATGACAGGTTCGATAAAAGAACCTTTCACACTAAAGATGCTATACCGATGATGATACTTTTCAAGACGCTAGTGCTCTCTAGAGTGGAGTACTGCTGCACAATGACAGCCCCTTTCAAAGCTGGAGAAATTGCTGACCTGGAGAGCGTGCAGAGATCCTTTATTGCTAGAATCCACTCAGTAAAACATCTAAATTATTGAGACCGACTAAAGAGCCTAAACCTGTATTCTCTTGAGCGTAGGCGGGAGAGATACATAATAATTTACACATGGAAAATAGTAGAGGGGCTGGTGTAACAAACTAGGTTTGTTGTAAGAAGTTATGTATTATAGATTCATTATTTGGTCCATGGGGTCTTGAAAGTGGAGTGAGAGGGTAGTCTACCTCACATTGGAAGTGAGAAGGTCCTCCCTCGGGGATTAGGACAGCAGAGTATATACAGGGCTGCCAGCTCTTCTTGGTTTTATAGTATCACTTTGAGTCATTCAGGTATTAAAGTAACTGTAATTAATAACTCCCTGTTGTCAAGCATGTTGATTAATTTAACGTCAGTTATGAGTGTAGAATCAAATCCCCTTCTTAATCCGAGAAGAGATGACCCGGTCGCACTGGCAACACCGGGAGGACAGGTCATCTTGTGGCTGGTGGCCGCACCTCCACCCTTCTCCCTCATGTTACTTCAGTAATTTACAGAAATTCAGGCTTTCATTTAATATTGTATTCAGTAATACTGAGATTATGTTTAATAACCAGCCTGGTTAAATATGAATGTAAAGGGTGAGATCTGGGTCGTATACCGTCAAAGAGAGTGACGTCATGTAGCTCTGAGGGTACTACTTCGCCGGGCGACGTACCTGACCAACCAGGGGGTCAAGGTTAAGCGCCCGACGTCACCACAATCTTCCATATTTACTAATTCATATTGTATAAATTAAAGTCCACTAGAGAATATTATAATTGATATAGCTTTTGCTAATATGACTAATGTAATTACCACCAGTTAAATGATAATTCAACCATCTGGGGTTTGCCAGTAATTAGGATTAGTTTGTTCAATTCACCCTGCTTTGTAATTGATAACTAGGCGGAGGAATACTGGGAGCTCTCTCGGCTTGAGAGAGAAAGAAAAATAGTTAGTGTAGTCTGAACATCCAGTGGAGACAAGACCTCTTCCCCAAAGCCGGCAAACATCGAGCCAGACCGTGGTATTAAGGTATCTGTTTTGCTTGAGTTTGGTATACTATAGGAATC